GGTCATTCATATATTATACCTTTTAAATTTTTCAAACATCAATAAAATGAAAAAAAAGATACTATAATTTTTATGCTATCTTTAAAATTGCTAATTTTACTCAAATAAGATGTCACGAATATTATTTTTGGGAGATTTAAAAAAAAAAACCAACCAATAACTGTTTTGTTTACAAATTAAAATTAAGAAAATAGCTATTTCTAAAAATCAACCAAATTGGAGACTCCGATCTATAAATTTTTTTTTTTTTTATTATTAAAATTACACCAGAATATTTTACTTACTGGAAAAGTAAATTTAATCATTTCACTTTAACTAAAGCTAAAATGAAATCTTCAAGAATGTTTTTTCATTTTTAAAAAGCAATTTTAAACCTTAGGTATCAAATTCAGTAGAGGTATCTAAACCCTTAAAATAAATGACCTTTCAGCTAGCAAGTTCTGGGAGGATGGAATCATGAAACTGCCTCAAAGTGTTTGAGATTTATTTAAAAGCACTTGCTACTTAGAGTCAACAGCATTTTAAGTGTACAATTTAAATTTGAAATTTGATTTGCCATCAAAGCAAGTTACAGAATTAAATCAAATTACAACACTCCTACTGTCAAACATTTTTTTTTTTTTTAACTGCTGAAAATTTCAATAACTATTAATACTTAAGTCTCAAGATTGCCGCAATTCAATAATTTGGGAATAAAAACAAAACAAGACTTAAGAGCCATCTTTAAGTTTATTACAGATATGACACAGCACACAACTGGGGAAAGGGGGATGCTCGTAAAAGAAATCACAAAAGAAGGAGGAAGGGCAGCTGTTACATAATGGAATTGGCAATTTTGTGTCCTAAAGTGCATTTGACCCAATGTTTTTGTTTTGCTTGTCCACAAATCTTTAAAAAATGATCGTAGCTGCTGCTAGGGACACATTACAAAAGAATAAAGAATATAAAAAAAAAAAAAAAAAAACCCACCAGAACAAACTACGTTTTGTTGCAATGGTGAAGTCAGAACAAGAGTGAGAGGAAAAAACAATAAAAAAAAGCAGCACATACCAAAGAAAATACTGAAAGTCAGATCATGAAAAGAAAAAGCAGCAAAGGGAGAATATAAACATAAAATAAGAGTAAGAGAGAGAGAGAGAGAGAGAGAGACAGACAGAGAGAGAGAGAGAGAGAGACAGAAGAAATCAAAAATAATTCACACCTAAAAGCTTGTGCTGTAGACTTATGGGAAGCCACATGTACCAGGCTTAATGATTATTCAAAATGAAACTATCATTTGCAGCAGTTTTTAAAAAGAAAAGGACTAAGATATATATATATATATATATATATATATATATATAAATATATGTAAAGTTAAATCCATCAAGTTGTCTGAAACCTCAGGCCTGGCACATGTAACTTCTAGACACTTACATACATGCACATGGCTGCACACATGGAAGTCTGTTTTGTTTTTTTTCCGAGTACACATGGATTTTTTCTCCCAGCCTTTGTCAGCAATTATAAAGATCCCTGAAGCTCAGAACTGCTGATAAGACAAAACTAGTTCTATGTCTTTAAAAGAAAAAGGCCTTGAGCTTTTAGAAACAATATGGCAGAAGGAATATCCCACAAACTGATAGCAGGGGGGGGGGGATTACCACACACACACACACACGCCCACACCCCCAGGAACAAACTTTACTTCCCTCTCCAGCAGAGAAATAAACTGAGCCTTAAGGAACCTCAAAACATGCTCAGGCTGCCTAAAACAAGGACTGTCTCCTCATAGTCCACTGGTTGGCAGGTTGTGGCAGTGCAGTGCACCGCAGCAGTATGAAGGCACAGAAGATGCTAAACTCCTCCAGAGCTGCTGGGCAGGCACCCTTCTCTCAAGAATTAACAGTGGGTTGGGCTTGCAGCTCCTTTGGCCAGACAAGCTTATAGCAAGAGGCAATATTAGACACAGCACATTCCAGAATAGACTTGCCTAACCATCTGTTTGCAACAGCAAATCTACCTTCTAAATGTACAAGAACAAATGATAAAACATTTGGTTTTTTTTTTTTTTTTTTAAAAATGTTAATTTTTTTTTTAATTGATAAACTGTCCAAAAAAAAAAAAAAAAAAAAAAAAAAAATTTTTTTTTTTATAAAATAATTTGTAAATTGTGTTTTATATATATATATATATATATATATATATATATATATTATATATATATATATATATGTGTGTAGGCTTAGGAAACTGAAGAGAGAGAAAAGATAGCATCAATCCCCCAATCCCTGCCTGTTAGAACAGAAAAAGGGGGAACAAACATCTAAATAGTTTATGACTTTATGGATTTTCATGTATCTGAGTTACAGGGATATGAAAAACCGAAAGCCATTTTTTCTCAGCAGTTTCTAAACTTAGAAACTTCAACAAAACTTTGATTTCAACAAAAATAATCATTTTCTTCAATCTGACTAGAATATTTTTGTATAACTACCGAACTACTGGATGAGGAGGGTATCTGGAATGTCAATGCTGTTATATCAATGCCTCTATCTAACATTTATCTTACTAAGGATGAGTGACTGTCAAAAACAGACTGGTCACTGTCTGGCTGGATTTCAAAGTAGCATGGTTCCCTTATAATAGGCAGAATATCCAAACTGAAGTATTTATCAGTCAAGTTTTTTTTCCCCTTTTGCAACTTATCTACTACCACAGGATGACACCAAATTGCTTTTAAAATGACATCATACAAGACCATATCAAAACAGGAACTTTTTTTTTTTAAAGTTAAATGTGCACCCATTTGAGAATGCAAACTTAAGTCTCTCAGCATCATAAATTTTAACAAAATACAAAAGTGGGTTAGGAGAGAGAGAAGCAAGGTGGGATAAATTTTTTGTATTGCAAATACAAATCAAGATGGAGATGAGACCAAGAAAGGGAAGGAAGACAAAACCGGAGTCTAAAAAGCATGCATTTCTGCAAACATCCCAATCTGATTTGGGATCTTTATTAACATAAATCTTGAGAGAATTTTTTCCCCAAAATACAAGTATCACTTTTTCTTTTTTTTTTTCAGTCTGTAGTACTGGTAGTTGTTAATATCTCCTAGATTATTAGATAGCCAGTAGTAGCAGAAGAGGATAAGTAGGTGAGAGGGTTTATTTGATGACTGCCCCCTGAAGCTGGTCAGGGGCGGTGGAATGAGGTGGGGGTGCCTGCCTGCCTGGGATTGTGACAGTTCGATGAGATGATTTCACTCACGCTCACACTCATTCAAACGAGCTGAGACTGCCGCTACCACCGACGACTCAGACCAATGGTCTTCTTACTTGACCATGCCCTGTTCAGCAGCTCTGAAAATACAAAAGCAATTCATTTAGACACAAAATATTTTATTTAAACTTGTATTTATAAATTTAATATTGTATTTATAAATTTACCCATGAAAAACAAAATCCTGAAGAGAGTGTGTGTGTATCTCTTGATAGCAACTTCAGAATCAGGATTAGCCCAATTGCAGAGTTTCAGAAGAAAACTAAAGTTAGTCACCTTTGGCTTCAGTTGGAACCAAAGTCATGATACAAACTATCCAGAATAAAATACCCTGGAATTGTTTTATTTCACTACTTTACATTTTTATCTCGTGCTCTAAAATGTTAACTTAAATAAGTTTTGCTAAAATTGTTCATAATAATGTTGTTACAAAGAAAACAATAATGGCTAGCAAATGAGGAAAGAGACTACAGGGGGCCAATAAGGCCAAAAGGAAATACGTCTAAGCAGATTCAGATTTCTAGCCTACCTATCAAAAATAATCTTAAAAAAATCTTGAACATTTTAAGATGTCTTTCAAAGAACATCTTTTTGTTTCAACTTTAAATTTTGATTTCCAGTATCTAAACATCTGTTAAATGAGATGAAAAAAAAATACCAAGGGTCTGAGTAACATGGATGACCTAGAATGGCACGCATGCATATATGTGTGTGTGTGTGTGTGTGTGTGTGTGTGTGTGTTCAGGCAGCTTATCTTCATTGAAATCAGGTTTCATTAAATAGACATATTTAATATTTTTATAGTAATCCTTTCTAGTTCTAATTATCTTGATTAGAAGTTGAAATTCATCAAGGAAGGTGCCATTTTTGTTAAACCAAGTACTTTTGATCTCCAGGATCATCCTCAGGAGTGAATTGTGAAGACAAACTTGATATAACTAATTGCTGTAATGGCTTTTTTTTTTTTTTTTTTAACAAAAACACTATTTTAAAATTAACTGTTGTGGTTACAAATGTTTTGAAAACAAGCATTCCCAATGCAAGAGGTATAACCAGAGATAGTAAATTGCAAAATGGCATTAAATGTTAGTTGGGAATAATATATAACTATGTAAAATCTTAAGGTAGCTGGAGATTTGTTTCAATACCACCAATATAACAAGTCAAATTTAAAACTTTAAATTATTGAATGAATTTGTGGGAAACAAAGTCCTGTAAGGATAAATAAGAATTTAGTAATATTAAAAGGTTTTAAATCATCTAAAAGCATTCTAACACATCCTTAAGTTAAACTGAAAAGGAATTAAAAAAAAAAAAAAAAAAAAAAATAAATAAAAAAATCTGTTAAATGTTCCTGGTAAGACATTTGTATTTGTTTTCAAGTGAAAATTTAGAAAATTACTTACCAAGATGCATTCCTTAATTTACGTATTTCCTTTGTAGCCCAGGTTGCAAGGGTTTTGGCTTTGGTAACTTTGGAACGGCGACCCTTTGTCAACAAAGCCTGTATAGATTCTTTGTCAACATATGGCACCATGGCTGAACCAAATGTAGTGCAAAGATCACTTTAAAATAAAAAAAGAAATTAAATTTATAAGCTACTAATAGTTTTCATTAACTATTAAAGCAGCAATTGTTTCAATACAAATTACCCAATTATTAATTTAGAAAAGTTTAATGTAACATTTGAACAATGTATTTTCAAAAGTCAAGATTATATTTATAGATTTTTATTCAAACTTGAATTATGCTCTTTGATAAGTTAGAAATCACAAAGATGTGGTGCATTTTTATAACAAGTTGCAATGTAAGTATTTGAATTCATAAATTTAAGCTTAATTTTCTATTACACTATGTCAGATGTAATATTCTTAAAATTCAATCTTTATGATCTCTAGACAAATGCTATATTCCTCTGGAAAGAGTTAATTTTGGATAAATTTCAAATGAATCAAATTAGCAAGCAATCATTACTCTCACATGACAAGATAGTGCTAGCAACATTCATTAAACCTTGAAAGAAAAACGCTACTTTCTATGCTTAATCATATTTGAAAAGCAACATTAAATTTAAGCTTTCATCACACCAGTTAGTAAAAGTGATTAAATGTCAAAATTCTTACCCAATCAAACCACAACATGCAGCAATGTTGCTGTCACTGTGGTCTTCATCTTGAGCTATGTGCTCAATAAACGAAATCATGTGTGCAACATGAGGCTGAAGAAGGTTCACATCAGCTGAAGGAGGGGAAAAAAAATTACTTAAGATTAGAATCGAATGGATTTAAACTAAAATACTGAGAGGGAGGAAAAGGAAGAGAGAGAGAGAGAGAGAGAAAATAAAAGCATGATTTATTAATTGCCACTACTGAATATTTTAATGCAGTACATGTAAAAGGATAATTAAACTTTGAATTTTCTGAATAGTATATAAAACAATCCATTACATTTGCTTACGTGCTAATACCCTTGTGATAGTTCAAAAGGTTCATAGTAAGGGGAGTTGTACATGTGTCATTTTTTTTCCTTTTCAAACTTAGTTTAAGTGTTCAACAATGTATCCTCAGACTGGAGATTTCCAAGGTGATTAATTCCCCTAGTTAAGTTACATCTATCAAGCAGTCCATGCAAATCAGAGGATTAAAACATCTGAAAGTGAACTTACGGTTGATTTCATCTGCATCTCCCTTTAGTCCTTGCACAATACCAGTGTAAGCTTCCAGACATCCTTCCCTCAATTCATTCAGATAGTCAATCATGTCATAGTCAGTCTTGAGAGAGGTAAAAAAAAAAAAAAAAAATGTATCAAGCATATGTTAACCTGAGATTCTTATTTCATCAAAACTTTATACAAGTATTCAAACCTTCAGTAAACATGGACAAACATGTCTACAATAAGATTTGTTAAAAGGACGGTTTTTCCCACAACTACCTTCATGCTTCAGCAAGGTTTGTTAGATAAAGAAAGAAAATTTCTTAGTCTTGAGAATTTACAAGAATATGCAACTACCCCAATACAACTAGTCATGACTTTTCTCAATGGGAAGATTGAATATCAATTCAAGGAAAAATGTTTTGAATAACTGCAGTCTGATCACACCCTGATGTTCATTTTCAAATTAATCAAAACATGGAAGGTTTAATGATTTATTTTATTTATTTTTTAGATTTTAGAGAGAACCAAGCTTTTATAATATATATATCTCAAGCATGGCATCACATGGTAGAAGCAATATTTTCAAAGAGTTCACAGAAACTGATGTAATCTGAGCATAAAAATGGAGAGAATTTATGCATTTCTACCAATTTATCAGATATTGAGGTAATATCAGAATTTGACTGATAATGTTCCACGGACAAATTTAACCTAGAATCAAGACAACAGTACCCAACATTGACATATACTCAGAGGAAATCCCAGACCAGAAAACATTCTAGACATGGAGAAGAAATAAATACTTTGATGACAATATGCTGAATCAAAAGGGCCCAACAACTGTTTCTGAAATGAGAGCCTATATTGCCTTTCAAATAGTGATGGAAATTATTTGTCTCAAATCAGGACAACTTGGTTTCAGTCTGCAGGGATCAGAGAACTGATTACAAGGGACAGGCTAGACAAACTTATTGAATGAATAAGCCAGAACTTGAAATCACAGTATAATCCACATTGTGAAACAATGAAATCATGATTGCCTTCACAGGATGACTTGCCCTCAAACAGTTTGTTCAATTGAAGCCTACAAAACATAAGATAAAAGTGTGGATGCTGGCTGATCACCACAATAGTTATATCAATGACTTCCAAGTGTATACAGGGAAAATTCCTAATCAACCCAGACAGTTGTCAAAGACCTCACAAGAGAGATATGGATACAAAACCACTATGAATAATTGTGATAATTTCTTCTCATCCAAACTCTTTGAGGTACTCTTACAGAATGGAAGCCAAGTGGTACAAGATGGAAACATAGAAGAGGCTTGCCAAAGCTGTCACCTCAGCCAAACTGAAAGAGCAAGATGACTTGATACAGAGACAAAAGGGGAAACTGGTAGCAACAACCTGGCATAAGAGGACTCACTTTTGACCACTAATGCCAGTTCCAATGACTTGATAAGTGTTCAAAAGACAAAAGATAGAACACTACAATATGCCATGTTCAAGTGCAATAAAAAAAAAAAAAAACAAAAACAAACAAACTACACTGTGCACATGCATGGTGTGGAACTTGCAGACCAAGTTGAGAGCCAGTTACTGCATTGGAAGACAGTCCAACAAATTGTAGAAATGTGTTTTATTTTCATGTAAATGTGGCAATGTGTTTGTCATCTGTGTTGATTAATGAGTCACCAAATCACAAGCTCCTGCTCAGAGATAAAGATAGAGAGAGAGAGAGAGACCCTGGAAGTTCCTTTTGGCCCAGGGTGCCATGCACTGGCCTCTAGATTTGAGGGAAAAGAAAAAAAGAAAAAAGAAATATAAACAGTGTACCAAATAAGAGAACGAAAAACTGGATGTAAACAGTGCAAAGTGAACCTCTGCACCAACTGTCTCAAATCATATCTTGAACACTTTCCTCAACCTATTTGGAAAAGTTCCCAGATTTAGTAATAAATGGTAATATTTAAAAAAAATATTTAGCTGGTAATAATTTTTTTTTTTACAATTTCTGGTATTAAAACCTATTTTTACACTCAGTGTTTTGACCCCAGTTACAATTTCATTGAATAAGGTTTTGCATCTTGATTATGTATTACTAAATTATGAAATTTTACATGTCCAATTTTTTTTATATATATATGATATATATATATTTATATTATTCAGACTATTAGTATTTTGTTTCTTGTTATTTTTTACTCTTTAGTGTTTTGTTTGTTTATTGAACTTCTTTTGTTTCTACTTGTTTGATTTTGCTCCCTTAGTTTTACATTCGTTTCTTTTTAATGAACTTTGTCTAGACGATTTTTCCCTTGTTTGTGATGGGCTAGAGATTTGTTCCTCTATGTCCATTTTCCTTAATTCTTCAAACTTTTTTTTTTTTTTTTTCTTCTTTTAATTCTCTTGAGAATTTATCTATTTCTTGGATTTTTCTTCATTTTGATTTTTCGGGTTTAATAGTTTTCTAGATGTAGAGTCATTTTTGTTTGCAGTTGACGGTATAGGGTTTGTTTTTCCATTAGGTTAATGATCTTTGTATAGATGATGATTGTTCCCTTGTTTGTGATGGGCTAAAATTTTGTTCCTCTATATCCATTTCTCTTGATTCTTCACTAAAAAGTTTTGTTTTGTTTTTTTTTTTTATGTACCTCTTGATTCTCTTGAGAATATTTACGTTTCTATTTCTTGGATTTTTGTACTTTGGTTTGGAATTTTCAGATTTAATCGTTTTGTACATCTAGTTTTTTTTTGTTTGAGGTTGACAGGACATGATTTATTTTTTTGTTTATGGGCGTTTGATTTATGAGTGATACATTTTAGTAGTTCTATTAAACTTTTTAATTCGTTAAGTTATAAGATCTTGGCTTCTTAATGCATTGTTTTCTTGGACGACTGTTGATTTGATATTTTAGTGATATTTGCATATGATGCTTGAAGTGAATTAGATTCAACCTGTTTTCTGGCTTCTTGGAAGGAGATATTTTGCATGTGTTTTCTTCTAATTATTTCCTTTTTCTAAAATGTTACACTCTTTGGAGACCACTGGATATTTTTCTTTACAGTTTGGACATAAAGGAGGTTTTTCACAAGGTAATTCATCATGCTCAGTTTCCAGTTCCCACCATTTTCAACAGACTGATGTCCTCTTACAAACATTTTGAAGATGACCAAATTTTTAACATTTATCACATCTACAGGGATTAGGAATGTATGGCTCTACCTTGGCTATTGTGTAACCAATCTTTATTTCTTTTGGTAGAGTTTTTTGGATGTCAAAATTTATGTGTGCTGGTGCTTATTACTGTGTAGTTTCTTTTTATTTGTATTCTTTTAACATCTGTTACTCCTTGCTTTTTTAGGGTGTAGTCATTTTCAATTTCTGATGAACAAAGTTACAGTTCTGGGCATTTTATTACTCTTGATGAATTAAGAAATTGATGGGGGTAGGCCTGGACTTTATTGTTGTCAATTTGCTCGATTTTTAACAATTTCTCTGCGTCTGGATATCACTTGAATTAATAGAGTATTATTTTTCTTTATTTTTTAACAGATCTGATCATGTCTGAAATAACCCTTTGCAACACGAAAGGAGACACTTGATATATCACCCGCTACTGATTTTACAACAATGAAAGTTGGAAATTGATTTTTTTCTATTTCATTTTTGCTTTCAGAAGTTTCATATCGTCTCTTGGTTTGCTTGTAAGAGATAGCCGTATAATTTTAATTTTTGTATTCATTGTCTGTGCTCCCCACCCACCTCAGAGTTCCTTCTTAAGAGATACTATCGGATGGGGACTAATCCCATTCGGCCTAAGGCTAGACAGTATAGTTGCGATGAGAGCGGATATGAGCACCTGCACTCCCCCACCACATCTACCCAAGCATAGCATGATGTATGGTTTTGTGGCCCTGTCAGACCCATTATCTATCATCCAACTAGCCCTTGCCACTATGTGACTAGCTGATTGGAATGGATTAGGCTATTCCATCCGCAGGTCTATCCCAGGTCGGGACCGAAGTGACATGTGAAAACTCCTGGTCATTTAACACCAGAACAGGAGTCACTCAGTCACTTGGACTCCATCCCCAGGCATCACAGGTCGCCACCCACGGCAAACAGGTGGCCCCATTAAAAACAGGTTTTGTGAATGTGCACTTTATATGCTGCAATTTGTGTTGATGGTATTATTACATAAAACCCATTCTTACATTTTCCTAGTATTCCGACTCCAGAAAGAGAGGGGGGGAACTATTTACCCATAGCTGGGACCCTAACCAGTGCTACCACCCCGGATCAGTGTGGATCCGGGAACAGCAACAACAACGCTCCTCAAAACCTGATCAGAGGCCTTGCAGCTGAATGCAATTTATCGTCACACCCAGGACAAGTTTTCATGTTTTGTTCATTTTATTACATTAAAATTGTTTACCCGATTCAATAAACTATAAATATGACAACTTGTCTTTTTGGAAGATCATTTATTAAATTCATTTTGGAACCTTCCCTAAAATTTCATGCATTTAATTTTATTATTTATAAACTTAGACCAATTTTTGTACAGGTATGTTAAATAACCATCAAATTTTCACTATTAGGGGATGTCAGAATGGTGATTAGGGCAGTAATCAAACTGAACTGCCAGCAAAGAGTTAAATATTTTACTAAATTGTTTATTTACAAGAATAATTTTATGTTTACAACATTTTAAAAACTAATATTTACCATTTATAAAGAAATAAATGTAAAGATTTTTAAACAAATTTATAAACATTTAGTAGATTAAAATATGTGAGCCAACTATAGGGAAACACTTATTTACCAATTTATAAAGTTTAAATCAATTAGCAATTAACTGATGTTTTGCTACCCATTCCAATAAATAGTGTAAATAAGTGTTTATTATTCTCAAAACAAAATGTATAAATTTACTTTCATATCTAATCAATCGCTTTTTAAAAAGCCATTGCTGAAGAGTGACAGTAATTAAAAAGTGGTGCCACTGGAAAAATTAAATTTTTCCTCACTACGTCTTATTAGTGTTTTAAGCAAATGCTTTTATAGATTTATTAATAACCAGAGCAAAAAAAAAAAAAAAAAAAAAAAAAAAAGGATATTTAGTGAATGATTACCTTATCAACCTGAGCTTGAGATGCCTGCTGTAGTGTATTTAAAACGACACTCAAATAGTTCTTAAAATAAAAACCTATAGCAAGGGCAATATCTCCAAAAACAGACAAGATCTGTGGTTTCACTGATCTGTGGACAGTTTCATTCTGAAAAAAGAAAAAAAAAAAAAATTAACAAGCAGATAAACTTGTGAGTGTTCCAAAACACTAGACCATTTACACCTCAATAAATAAGCAAACATTAACATACTAAGCAAAAATGATAAGCAACTGCAATATGAAAGCAGACCATGACCAGAGTGACCAAAACAAGTCAAAATCCCATGACAAACAAAGAACATGTCATTAGGTGCTGATATGGATTGGTCATAGAATACAACCAGTCAAGCCTTGCCTTATTACATATGCTTGGGTTCTCTTTTCTTCCAACCTACTTTACTGGAATTTACAATAATTCATATCAATTTGGGGGGGGTCATTTTGTAAGGCAATTCTATAAAATTTGAAACTTGGTACAATAGAAAATCTATCTTTAAACATACAGGATTTAAAATTAAGATTAAATTTAATGTATGTCTTTCAGCTTAATTTCAGTTGCCCTTTATCACAATGAGCATGTGTAAACAAAACACCAAATAAAGAATCTATTGTTGGATTTGATCTCCTGTACCATTTGCTCAAGAGTAACTATCAGAAAAAGGATTAGGCTTCTGAAATATTGACTTTAGCAGAGAGCTATTCTTTGTTCCTTATCTGCATTGTAAAGCGATTTGTTACAATAAAGAGCAACTAAAATTAAAATGAAATAAATAACCATCAAATTAATAATGGTTGATAATACTTCACTTAATAAAGACTGAAGTATTTTTGAAGCAACTACAGCAGTATACTTACTCCAAGATTCTCTACCAACAATGTCATAAGTTCATCACAGCATGGCAAGATATTTTTCCCCACAGCTCTGCAGATATCTCCTGTCAGACCTACAGCTGCCTGACATACCTGAGAAAATGTTTTCATAGTTTCAGTAAAAAGGATTATGCAGAAATTGAATAGATTTACTAACGTTGTATTAGCTTAAAGAGGAAGAAAATAGGACTTCACATTTTTCAACATAATTTTCCATTTTATTTAGAGTTACTTGTTTATATGTCTGCTTCTTATTATGAACAAAGTCTTAAAAAGCAACTGAATCAATTTAAAGGTTTCAAAATTTAAAAAAAAAAAAAAAAAAAAAAAAAAATGTTTTCAATAAAAATGGAGCAATATTTTAAAAGTTTGGCATCATGTAGTAGTAATTAATTCTAATCCTTTTTCAAAAATATTCACCTGGTATTCTGCATGGTTTTTCAGCCCAAGTGTAAGATAAGGCTTGAAAGCTTGCATGTATGGCATAAAGTTCTCTCCAAGTACTGAAAGATTGAAGCAGAAACTAACATTAAATTAATGCTTGAATATTATACGGTAAAAGTTTTTCGACTGTAATCCTAGGATTTAAGTGTCAAAGTCCCTAGTAAAAATACCAAAATAGTTCAAATATCATTAAAGAATTTTAAGCAGTACATTAAAACAACCTTAAAAGTAGCCTAATTTACCCCCTCATATATATATATATATATATATATATAAATAAATAAATAAATAAATAAAAAGAGGGAGAGACTATTAAGGAATCAAAACTACCTTCAACAAGTGTTGAAACACACAATAAAGCATCCTCTTGAACTCCCCCAGACTTCCCACAAGAAGTGTTAAACATCTGTAGCAATGCAGTCATGATGGGACTGGAAATTTTGGGAGCATCTTCTGGAGTCACTTTACGCAATACACTCTGAGGAGAGAAGAAAAATGTGTCTGAAAAACAATCACCGATACCTACTTAAGTTCTTTGAATTCAAACTTAAGTAAAATGTTTGAATTAGAAAATTCCAACAGGGAGAAAAATTAAATTGATCATTTTGTTCGAGTTTTATGCATATAAATTAACTTCTAAAAGTTTTGCTTACCTTCAGTAGTATGAGAATAGTTTTTTTTTTTTTTTTTTTTTTTTTAAACAATAATGTTCACCTTGTACAAAGTCCAATAACCACTTGAGGTAGGTTTACAAAGAGGCACAATTTATGTTGGTAAAATAACTTTTTTAGCCCTAGACAGACAGGTTGAGCTTGTAGTGAATGGGGAAGCAATTAATTGGGTGTCAGTTTCACAAAACATCTTGAGCCAGACAAAATTAAGCTTAGAAAATAACTTACCTGGAGTGTAGCACACAGCAAAGACTGTAAATCATTGTACTGAACCCTGTCAGATGTAGAATTAATATGACCCTACAAATAAATTGAAGTAGATTTGCATTCAAAACAAGTGATCTGAAGTAATGTCAATAGATTTATCTGTCTGAAATATGACTTTCATCACATCTCATTTGGTTCTTAACATTCCAATGTATAAGATTAGAAACTGCTCCAGAAAATTTGGAAAAATTATAACAAACACCATTAAAATTAGGAAATCAATATTTTGACCCATTCAATCTTAAAGCCTTCATTTATTTTTTTTTAATGCAATTAGTACAGGTTTCAGTAGAAATTAATTTTTTTTTTTTTTTAAAAACTACTTGCTTTATACAGCAACTTTTTTTTTTTTTTAAAAAGAATTACTGAAAATTCTCCCTTGTATTTACAATTTAGTCTGAAACAGAATACACAAATGATCATGTCTGTTAATGTCACAAAAAAAATTAATGTTCATATAAAAAAAAAAAAAAAAAAAAAAAAAAAAATCCACTTTGTTCATTAAAGCAAAATTTGTTCTTACAATTAGATATGTTCTTCATTTAGTAATAAAAATACAAATATCTAAATTTAAGTACATCAAACTTCATTTTAGGTTAATTGATTTTAAAATGGCAAATGAAGTTTGGGTGAGCTCCATTAAAAAAAAAAAAAAAAAAAAAAAAAAAAAAACTAGGTGAGAAAAGACCTTATATTTTTTTTATTTTAATTACTTGCTTTTAGAATAGAATTTTTAATTAAAATTCTATTCTAAAAGCAACCAATTAAAATGAATTTTTACACAATGTGTGACAATGAGAAAGTCATAAAACCTACCTCCATCTGCAAGACCTTCTCAAGCCTTTGTAGAATAATCATTGTGGTCTTTTTGACAGTTTCATAGCAGTCCTAAGTAAGGAGAAAAGACAAGTAACAGAAAAATATCTTCATTACAAGTATTTTGAAAGCTTGCTACAAGTCAGATTTGTTTTACATTACAAGTTTACTACATTAGAGTGTAACAAATCAAACTAACATTTTATTCACATTAACAATTTATGCTTTCATTTTTAATTCTAATAGCCACAATGTCTGAAAAAGACATTTACAATTGTGACAAGTGAAAATTTAAGGCTCAATATTTATGAAAAAATTCAAACTTTAATCAGCAATTTAAGATTTCCTAATATAGCAAGAACATTTAAAAATGGTTACAACCAATTAATTTTGCAAATATAGATTCATATTAATGGCTCCTTTTATAAGGGAACAAAAAGTTAAGTTTTTTGGGGTTTTTTTTTTTACCTTTTAAGTGTGCATTATATAATTGAAAATTAGTTTCTAGATCTTTTAACACAAAATGTCATTACTCCTGGAAACTAATCCAAGAACAATGCAGCTTCTAATAAAAAGCTCATTGTAAATGTGATCATCAAATAAGCCCCTCCCCGTAACAAACAGGCCAATTTAGTATCTCACCCTATATAAGGCACTAAGATGTATAAAGTGAGGGTCCCTGTTGGAATGATGTTAGAAAACAGTCGTTTTCCCCTCCAATACAAACCAGGTTCAAATTGCAAGGGTTACCCATATGCAAACTATTCTAATATAAGTGGTAGTATAGTACTTTACATCCCAATCAGGCTTCTTCCACTGGTACTTTATTAAAATGGCCCATTATACAAGCTCAGTACAGCCGATATGAAGAGAGCTCCTTAAACCAGATCCACAAAGTGTAGCGGAACAAATTTCCAAAAATTGCAATCACTAATCTGAAATTGCACCAGCCCTATTTTCTTCAATAATTATTTGGTATTCTCTCACATTCTTTTAAATTATACTTTAAGAGCTTAAACTATATCTGCAATTAGGTTCTAAAAAATTTGAAGTCATGATAATGTAAAAGTTTTTAGATTATATTGTTGGCTAACTCTACACTTTTTTTTTTTTTTTTTTTTTAAGTACCATTGTAATTTTCAAAGACAGTGGGTAACAGACAAGCAAAAATCAACAGTTTATTGACTAAATGGACGCAGGAGGGGAGATAAACCAAGTAACAGGTGTTAATGTACAAATTTGAAAAACCTTTAATTAAAACAAAAGTAGTCAGTCACAAGAATGTATGAGCATACATCCATTTCCTCTGCAGACATTTTACTTTCTCACACTAATCTTGCCCTACTGTTTTCATCTTTGTCTTAACTTCTCCCAATTTTTAGACAAACACCTATTATCAAATTTGTTTATCCTTCCAGGTTCACTTTAGCAGTAAGTTAAAGTCATTGACTATGAAGCAACCCAATGGCCGACATACCACTACACAAGGATTCATAATTGCCACGATATATATATATATATATATATATATATATATATATATATATATATATATGAGATTATATATATATATTAAGAAATTGACAAAGTCCGACAATATATTTATTAAAGACATTTTTATGTTTAACGTTCTTTTTTATAGATACAAGTATTTAAGTAAATGCTCTGTTTATAATAAACAGTATTAAATAACATTTACCGGCCTGAATGTCCAAGAAATTTTCATAGAAAATATTTGTCCTTTGACAGGATTCAAACCTGCATCCTATACGGAACCGTCAGTTATGCTGACGTGCCTGAAGTTTATAAGCAGTAAATTCGACCTCATCTACCGAACGCTCCTTTAACACTTCCAACAATATATATATATATATATATATATATATATATATATATATATATATATATATATATAAGAAGACATTGTCCCAGTATTTGATGCCTCCCCCCCCCTTTTTTTTAAAAAATAATGATATTCATAAGAACTCACCTTGGGACTGTTTTTCACTAGTTCCATTAAGGCCTCATATGCAGCATTTCTCAAATTATGTTGATTAGAATCTGCCCTATTCATATAAAAATAGTAAATTGCAATGTTATTAACTAAATTCAGTTACCTTTTAAATGAAGAAATATAGATTGCCAGAATGTATGAATTTGAGAGGGAAAAAAAGTAAAAGTACCTGTCTGTAGTTTCTAAGAGTTTGGTGACAATACCATCAAAATAAAACGAAAGACAATATGTTTCTGGTTCCACATTCTCATCAGCTGTGTCTGCAGCAATTTCATATGCGGCTTCAGCCAAGCTAGATATAGCCTTAAATATATATATATAAAAAAAAAAATTACCGTTAACATCATCCCTGACCCTTCAGTGAAAGGAACTTATAAATAGGTATGCAGTTGTGATAAGTTAGGATGCACAAAGAGTATAAGGTAGAAGAGGATCGGAATCTTAAGAATTTGTAGGTTGAAATAATATTTGGTCATAGTATCAAGCTTAGCATTAAAATCCCAAATCCACAGAGTAAGAGGAGTGGAGACTTCAGGGGTCGGGCTCAGTCCAAGTAAATCAACATTCAGATATCTATTTCAAAGCCACAAAAATCTTTTGTAGTGTGTTTTTATTCTTGACTTCATTATTCTAACTCCATGTCTCAAAATAATGACAAATACATTTTGTTTACTTTCAAACTGGAGATATACTTAATAGGCAATGTTTTCTTGCTTTAATTTTATAAAGCACTTTTTATAAATCTCTAATGACTTGTATGCCCTGTTTTTCAAAGAACACCTTTTTATTTCAAATTAATTGTTTTCAAATGACCATTTTAAATAAGTTATTCCAGATAGTATAAGGTTTTTTAGCAGATTGTATCAATTGAAAAAAAAAAAAAAAAAAGACAAATTAAATTCAGTCTAAGTCAGTGAAAATCAAAAGGTGGCAACCATAACTCATTGACTGGAGTAGTGCCGAGGAAATATATCAGTTAGCAGTACTGCTCATAAACAAACTAAAAATTCACAGATGCATGAACACACAAGATAGATACACACGTTTTACATGTTGAAGTTTTTTTTAACAATAAAATGTTTATTTTTATAAAATTACAATTAATATTAAAATACCAAAATTGTTTTTAAATTTCATGCACAGAAAAAAAAGTTAGAGTAAAGGAATCATTTTAGCATCCAAGTTATAGTCTAATACATCTGAGTTATTACTAACAATTTTAACAATTATAATGAGCTAGACAAACATTGGTGACCTGGAGTCAAACTACATCAGCATTTTTATTTAATATACAGGAGAATTTTGTAAATTTTCACTTACCCAACATACATTATGAGCTACACGTGGCTCAGCTTCCAGCCCTTGAACTAAAGCTTCCAGCAGAGGCGGCAGGCAGGTATCATTAATAACAGCTTCGGGTAAAATTTCACAGACTCGGCCCACTGCCCATGCTGTAGTGTCCCGCACCACAACACTTGAATCTTTCAACAAGTTTATCAACATTGGCATTGCCTGTTCAACAATAGGTTTTAACTTATTACGATCAGGACCTTCTAGAATGGATCCTGAAAGGATAAGAAAATTATATTTTAAATAATTTAAAATTTTATTTTTAAGTAGGGAAGGGAAGAGAGAGAGAGAGAGAGAGAGAGAGAAAAAAAAGGCTTCTAATTCTAACTATTAAGAGCAGTTCAAGTCTTTGCCATATTAGATAATTCACTAAACTGTCAAATGCTACTATATAGGAATTTATTATCCTTGAAAACTCATCCAACAAATTTAATTTTTTTTTAACCAAGCTGAATCAAGATTAATTATTAACATTGTTGCTATGGACCACCTTTATCAAAAAGAAAAAAAACTTGGAAGAATTGAATGCCATAAACGAGACATTGATAGTATAAAAATTGTAGCATAACACAAACTAAGCGAAGAGAAAGAAAAATCAGAAAGTATGTAATTTTTTGCAGTAATTTATTTTAGCCATGGTTCCTTATTGAAAGCACATTTTCAGTTTCACCTATCATGATTAACTTAGAGATTTTTTGAAATTTTTTTCAGCAAATTAGTGGTGGAACCTAATACATAAACAATTTCCAAAGGTTAATATTTAGAAAATAGTTGTGCAATAGTACATGCATACACACATACGCAAACTTACAGAACAAGGCTAGTGTACAAGAAGGGAGGTAAGGAAAATATCAATCTGAAAAATTGAAGAAATTTTTAGGAAAATATCAGAGTATGAGTTTTTGCTTGTAGATGTTCTTTTTCATTAGAATAGACCAATTTAAGTTCTCATTTATTTCAATTAAAGATTTTTTTCAAATATTACTATGATTTATATAATTATTTATCTCTTAAAAACACTTTCCAAATGTGACTAACAAGAGAAAGAATTTTAAATTTTATTTAAGAAAAAAAAAAAAAAAAAAAAAAAAGATTTAACTAATTCATAATTGCTTGCACAAGACATTGTACAAGAAATCTATACAAAAAAATCAGAAAGGAAAATGACAAGTTAAGCTAATGCCATTGAAAAGTGGAATGGTGAATAAACAGTGCCTACCAAATGCCATAACAGCAGCATCTCTATGCCTCCAATCAGTATGCACAATATTTTCCTTGACATAAGGAAGTACGTGACCTACAACGTCATCTTCACAGCATGTGGCCATCAGCATCAAACACACACCAGCTGCCTTACATGGGTTCCATTCATCATCATCAAACTCTTCCTGCAAACACACACAACAACAAACTTATAATGAAGAAGAAATCACTCATTCTATAGCAATCATTTCCATTCAGACCTAAAATTCATTGTAAACATCACTGTCTAGTCATGAGTAAAGTGAAAGATAAGAACAGAGCAAACTAAGAAAGAAAGAAAATAAAAAAATGTCTGAATGGAAATATGACAAATGTGAAGAACTCGTGTAGCAACAACTTAAAATTATTATTAACTAAAATTACACTTCAATTTATTTTAAAGCTTGTGCATAAACATTTACTAGGCCTAGTAAAATTTCATATTTAAAAATGTTGCTTTGTAGAGCATTAGTAAATTTAGCATTTATATTAATATAAAAATTAATTTAAAACTAAGCCAGGAATGTAACTACTCTTAAAACATTGAAAATAAGGCAAGACTCACTTGTTTTGTAAGAGTTATCAATAATATTGGGACCAAAAACTGCAAAGCTCCTTTGGAATAAAATCGACTTGTTCTTTCTGGTGGCCTTCCTTCTTCATCAGCCTACATTGACAATTCAAAAGTTATTTTCAGAGGTTGAAGAAAAACTGAAAAATAACAGCAAATTTGAAATATCAAGAATTAAAAAGCAGCAAGCTTACTTCTGAAAGTTCTATGGCAAGATCAACTTCCTCATCACAAACTGTTGACCAAAATTCAATCCCTTGAAGAGATACTTCATCAATATCACTCTTCATGGCTTCCATTGTAATCTGGAAACAGAAATTGTTACAAAAAACATTATCTTGAAGCAAGATTTTTATAGAGAAATAACAAACATGATTTTATACACTAATTTACATTATTCGGACTATTGTCCAATGGCCGAAATGTTGTAATAATTGCAACAAAGACGAGGACAATAGTCCAAATAATGTAAATTTGGTAGATAATACCTCATCTTCAGAAATATAGACAGATAATGATTTTATACATGTGCAAGAAATGCAATGAGACACTGGCCTTTTTTTATCCAATTTAGGGTTTAAAATAGTCCTTTCTCCCTTTTATAATGTCATGTCCCTTCAGATTACTTTATTATTTTTGAATTACCATAACTTAAGTTTCCTGTCACCATCGCCAATTTTGAATTCAGAGAAAGATATTATCCAAATCCAGAATCTTTGTCTACCACGCTGAGGGGAGGAAAAAAAATGGAACCATGTTCTTCCTAAAAGCATTAGTGTGAAGGGAATACAAGAAACAAGGTCAGAACTTTAACTACTTGCCAATTCTTTTTGCACTGATAAGGTGTTTGCACATCTTTTATATAAATTACAAGACTTAATGAAAAAAGTTGTGTAAAATACTTACAGCAAATAATGCTGGTCCCATATAATGTTCCATGTATTGATAATACAGGGACATTATCTTTACTAAGCACTGCAATGCAGCAACACGAACCTATAAAAGAAAAAAATTAAAATAAAATACATGCTCACAATCCGAAATAGCACCTTACTTGGTGTTGATGGGTAAGACTTCAATGACAGTTAATAAAAATTCCTTTGTACAGTGGAGCCTCAATTTTTGATCATTACCCAAGGTTATGTTCTATAAGAAATAATGGGAGCCCAATTAATTTGTCCCACATCCAAAAAAATATGAACAAAAATACATTTTATGAAGAAAACAAGAAAAAGAGGGGGGGGGGAGGGTAAGAGTGAGATTAAGCAAACACATGACTTACAAATTTAATATATTAGTTACAGAATGCAAATTTATCATTTTAATAGCCAATGTTTACACACAAATATGAAAATGAAGTTGCAAATATTCACCTTACTGGATTGTTTTTCTAAGCCAGTAAAATTGTGAAGAGAAAAAAAAATCCAAATAAAAAAGGTGGAAGCTGAACAGTAGATTAATATTAAAGATCACAAGGACTTTTGACAAAATAATGCTGAAAGTAATTCAGAATCAAAATATTTCCCCATACCCAAACAGCCAAAATCAATTTTGCATGTCTAGGACTGATGAGTAAAAATGGTGTGTGAAAGAAATAAAATACCTAAGAAGTGATATACACCATCCGAAACAACTGCTTATAACACCTACAATATTTACAATAAGCAAAATACTTTGGTTATTTCAAACATTTAAATTGATTGTGACCTATCAGTAAAATCTAAATTTGTCCATATTGGCAAATCTGCCAACATGGAGAGGAAAAACAAAAACAAAAAACAAAAAAAAAAAAAAAAAAAAAAAAAAAAAAAAACACCTTCAGAAATAAAAGCTGTAGAATTAGTCTGTGTGGAGACATTCTTTGAGTCAAAGTCTGTGATAGGTCTAAAATAAATAGTATATCAATCTACCTTGTAGGAGTCAAAATTGGGTTTAACAAGTTCAACTAAAATTAACAATTTTTTTCTGAAGCAGGGGTAAGTGGTATGAGGAGCTATATTCAAATTCTGCACATAGTATTTAAAAAAAAAAAAAAAAAAAAAAATAGGTCAAGAGAAATCAAAGTCTGAAAATTTTTTTTGACAAATTGCTGCCCTAAAAACTGAAATGTGATTTTGGTCCTGAATGAAGCCAGAAAATAGTGATACAAGAACATGTCCTTGAATGTAAGTAAATTGTGAGTTACAACAGGAAAATTTGAGGATTCATACTTAATCCCAGCCTTAAAAGGCAGTATTTGCTCATTTTATTGATGTGAAATTAAATGGTGCCAAGTGTCAGTTCCTTAAACAGGAACTACAATATTTAGGTCAGTGTATAAGGCAGGCACAAAACCATTTCAGAGTAAGGTAGATGCCATTCACATGGCACCTCATCCTTCTGTGTCAGAATAAAAATGCATTACATTTGAAGCCATTGAAACAGGAAAGTTTGGAAAAATTTAGTGAAAACAGGAAGTTGGAAGATGTTGAATGGGAATATAATCAGTGATTAGATTGTCATTTGTGAAGGTGTATTGCAAGTTAATTTGATTACTTAATTTGGTTTCATGCTCAAATTTTCAATACTCAGAAACTAGATGACAGGTTTCAATGTTTCCAGGGCCACCTGAATTAATTTTTCAGATCATGTCTGTCAAATTTGCAGTTGAAATTAACAGAATTGAATTTAACATTACATTTCAACCACAGAAACAATGCATCAAATTTTAAAAAATGTGTGTTGATACTGCTGAAGTGCTGGAAGACAAGAGAATATGGCTTTGGTGACCACACATAAATATGATCATGCAAATGAATTACATCTGACAAAAGAGAAGTGAGCTGGTTTGCCAACAAATAACCTTGATTCAGAATGCCACCTTGTGTGGAGAAAAGATTACCAATAGCCAAGTTTCGTAACAAGAAATTCACAGCAAAAGGAATTCAGAATGACCAAATAACAGACATTCCACAATATAACCAAGAAGTTTATTGCAACTGTTAATCTTTTGAACATGGAAAAAAAAAAAAAAAAAAAATATGGGTAGGTAACCAATAAGAACTCTACAAATTGAAGATCATGGAGAAAATTTAGAAAGGAAAGAAACAATCAAGGTTCACCCAAAATGTCTTCAACTTTGCAAAAGTTGGAATGGGCCACCAACCAGTGTTGAAGAGCTTCATGATATTCTGAAGGCAAATTGTGATAATGTTGAGAAGATTGTATAGAGTTGTCATATTACTACGATAATCACAATCATATCCTTCAACACCTTTGTTCAGGATCAATATTAGTCATGATTAACAGTTGAATTTATGTGCACTTCTTTCAGGCAATGATCCTATGTCCAAATGTTACATTGCCATCTAACAAGGATTCAGAACAGTTTCTTTGTCATTCCAAACCAGTTTTTCCACTGAGAATGACAAGAATGATATTGTGGTTGGGATGAATTATGTCACTGAAGGTGATGCAGACATCTGGTACTTAGCAGCTTGCATGGAGAAACATTCTGAAGGCACATGCAATGGAAGACCTTCATAGACTTCAGAAATCATCTCATTTGAAATGGAAGCACCCTGAAAAACCAGACAGACATCTCGAGACCTGAATCCATTGTTGCATGTGATATTGATGGCAAGTAGGATGGGTATTTCCAAGGAACAGAACATGACATATCATTTGTACATGAACAAACTAGCAGCTTTGTGATGTGACCAAGTTAAAGTTGAATTTTCAATTTTATCATATTCATAACTGGGTTAGATAAGTAAAAATTAAAAACATTAGATAATTTTAAACTGACTCCTGTAACTACATTTAGAAAATAATTCATTCCTTTGATTTAAAGTTTGCTTCAATTACTGAATTTTATTATTCTAATTTTCTCTTCTAAATATACATCACACATTCTCTTAAGATTATTAGGAGTAAGAGCAAAAGCTATAATTTTCCAGTTCATCTGAGGATTCAGACCTTTCTCCCAAAACCTTTTGGAAAGAGCTGTCTGGTATTTTGGGTTGGATAAAAAGTGCCTATGGGTGTAAAGCGTTTCCATTCCGCTGTAGAAATTCCAATGTAAACATTGTGATTTAACTTATTTTCTTTGGAGTAAATAGTTGCTTGGTATATTACCTTCATAGCTTTGCATTTTCCTTCAACTGGACAATTTTCACTAGTTCTACAATTACAGGGGGGGGGGGGGGTCTCAGAATTTACTTAGAATAGTTATGAAAATTGATAATTTTGTACAAGTTAATGGCACAGGAATAGCTTATTTTGATTGTTTTCCTACTGAAGGTTGTACTTAGAGGGTTGTTTTTGTGAAAATGTTTAACTTCAGAACATGTCATCTGATATTAGTATTAAGTGGGGAGGGGTCATGTTCCACCCCTATTTCTGTGCTCAGAACCCATTTTAGATACTTCAGTGTTACTTATAGGGGTTTAAGTAGGATAGTTTATTTTTAAAACTACTTTTATGAAGAGCATTTTCATAAAATTCTTTACTTTTAAGATATTTATATTAGATGAAAGTTTAATAGTTCTAGTACTGATAATAATGGGTATTTGTTTCTCCAATGGCATAGGGGTGATTAGAATCAACATTAACAGTTGGAGGTTTCATGCTCTTTATGGTAAGGATATTAAGGTTAAGGATGATAGATCATCTATGATTTAGAGTTAGAAGCAATCTCAATTCTAAACCCCAGTAAATGAAAGGCTCTAATTATTTTCTTCAGTAACTTCACAGTAAGTGGACCATTGCTACTGGGAACAAAAATGAGTCCATCACCTCTATATAGGCCTACTAGTTTATGATCTACAAATCTACTATAGAAACAAACTAGATCAGTAACCTGGGCTGAATCATGCTCCCATAGGAACATCAAAATGGTCATTCTGGCACTTAATCCAGGTATATATATATATATATATATATATATATATATATATATATACACACACACACACAAAAAAAACCTTTTCGGTCCAATGATGACAAAACTTCTTCCAGAACAGGAAACTAATTTGTTTGGGAATTTTATCAGACCTACAACCTTTTAGTACCCCTTTGTATTACATTTCAAGATAAAATGAGTAAAATACAACATACCCGTGTATCATGGGATTGTGTAGCTTCACAAACAACTTGCATGATGAAATGCCTTTCAGGCTGCAAGAGAAATTAAATACAAAAAGTCCCTGGTTAAAAAAAAATTTAGCTTTTTTTTTTTTTGCACTAACATGCACAAATAGCTAAACCAGTCTATTATAACTAAACTTTTCAAATAATTTTTCCATAGTACAAACTTATTAAAGCTTATATAATTATATGCAAAAAGAATTCTATAGTTTCAGTAAATTATTTTAGTAATTTTCGACCAAGATACATCTTTCTCACACATGAGCAGAACTACTTGCAATTGCCCATTTTATATAAAAATAACACCATTAATGTACACATTACTGATGAACAAGGTTAATATTTAAACCCTACATCATTTAATTCAACAATATTCATCACAATGTCATTAAAAATATCACTTAGAAGCATCAAACTTTTCTAAATTATGTGTATGCATGTCCAGCTTATATTCCAAAGCTACAATATTTTTATATATATATATTTCTTATTTAGGAAGAATTTGAAGCAAAGATTTGAAAATTTATTTCTTTACTAACTATATATTTGTAAAACTTCACATTCAATGGTTTTTCAAATGTTTCTAATGGATAAAAAGTGAAAATTTTCACTGTAAGGAAAGAGCCTATTATTTTTCATGGAAAAATGTAATTAAGAATTCCCTGTGTATTCATTTCAGGTTCAAATTTAAATTTTAGCTACTGTATGTTAAACCTTTACCATGCTAATTTCTTTTTGCCACTGTATTTTTTTTTTTGAGGGTGCAAAAAAGTGAACACCTGTTTTAAAACTTAAGTCTTTGTATTGTGTGTATAGATTTTATTTTTGTATACTAATAAAATTTAATGCATTACACTTTGCATGCATGTTTTGACATTGAAAATAAAACTGAAACAAAAAAAATAAAAACTGAATAAATGCTTCGTGTGATATTGACACTGGCATTTTTTGTTTAAAAAAAAAAAAAATTTACGAAAATTAACATGGTTTAAATGGTATTACGCCACATGTACAATCTATCAGGTCATCCCATAAGTTCTGTTCGAATTTTAACTTTTGTTAAAATGAACGAAATTTAAAGAGTATTTTATAATGTCTAATGGAGCTGAACATTGTTTCGATGCATTTAAACTGATCAAATTTTATTTCAGAGAACAAAATTAAATTTTGTTTAATTAAAACCGTGCTAACATGGAAGTACCCAAGAATCATTTGAGGCACATAATGCTTTAGGAGTTCAAGAAAGAAAACTCAGCAGCCAAAGCGGCTAGAAACATTCACTCAGTTTATGGAGAGGAATGTGTGAATGAAAGAACTTGCAAATGATTTGTAAAATTCAGAGGTGGAGATTTCACCTTTGAAGATGAAGATCGAACTGGACGTCCAGTTGAGTTTGATGAAAAGCTTCTTGAAGCAGCCCTTGAAGAAAATCCTGCTTTATCAGTTGAGGAATTGGGAGTGGTTCTCAGTTCAAACCATACAACTGTTTGTCGTCATCTTTAACAACTTGGAAAATGGGTGCCTCATGAATTATCTGAAAACAACCTCAAATCCCGAGTTGACATCTGCTCTTCTCTCCATTCTTGCCAACTTGTTTCACCTTTTTTGGATAGACTTGTGATGAAAAATGGATCTTTTATCAAAATGTTAAGCGTCATAGACAGTGGCTTGGTAATGGGGAAGGACCCCAGCCGAGAAGCGAACTTCATGGGCAAAAGGTTCTTTCAATCTGGTGGAATTGCCAAGGAATAATCCACTTTGAATTCTTACCACTTCATGCAACAATTAATGCTCAAATATAATGTCAGCAATTATAGCGTTTGAACCAAGCTTTGAGGAAAAAAAGACCTGCTCTAGTGAATCGAAAAGAGGTGATGTTTCATCAGGACAATGCGCGACCCCACACAGCAAGAATCACGTCACAAAAGATCAAAGAACTTGGTTGGGAGAAAATTCCTCATCCACCTTATTCTCTCAATCTTGCTCCTTCAGACTACCATTTGTTTCATAGCTTACAGAATCATTTGGAAGAAACAGCTTTTGTAACACAGGAAGAGGTTAAAACCGACATTTGTGAGTTCTTTGAATCAAAGCCAAAAGAATTTTACACTAATGGAATTAGTAATCTTGTTAATAGATGGAAGGAAGTCATAGATAATCAGGGAAAATACATTGTTGATTGAATCTGTAATTAAATGTAACATTTGGTCACTTGTTTTCTTTATTCAAAATTCGGACAGAACTTATGGGATGACCTGATAGAATCCAAAAAGGCGTCGGAAAACAGAAATTAAACCTTGTTCCAAAGCAGTAGTAGGCAATTTCCAGCTTAAAATCCTAGAAATAACAGTTGACAAGCGTTTTATAGAAAGTCTCAAGGCGACAGAATGCACCTAGAGTAGCAAAGGGAGAATTCTGTGGCAACAATTGTTGCCTGCCGCATGATAAAGTCTAAAGAAATAACTGAACAACATAGGTTTTAGTATAAGTCACCTGCTTAAATTATTTTATTGGTAAAGGCTTATTTTTAACATTTGTTTTTATATAAATGAAAATTGGATAATTAAATAAAAAAAACAAAAAAAAACTGCCACTTAAATGAAAGGACATCAGGTTTAGATAGTAAACAGTGTATCTTTTTCTTTTTACTACTTATAAAAGATTACAGAAATGATTTTTATCAAGCCTTTAGAAAATGCTGAATCAAAGTTTTAAGGGTGTAAATGTAATTTTAGAGTCCAAGTCACACACACATTATATATATATATATATATATATATATATATAAAGAACAGCAAGATATATAATCTTGTGTTCTTATAGATATTTTTATTTTTACAAAATAGTGCTCAATGTAAATTTACAGAGCATATATATATATATATATATATATATATATATATATATATATATATATACACACACGTACTCAGTTCTAATTGTGCACTGTCAATAAAAAGTAAATTATGTAACTTTAGACAACTGAACATTACACATACAATAAGGCACACAAGCACTAAATCACCCCCCTAGAGGGGGGGGGGAGATTTACACTTTACAATCCTACCTTACAAATTCAAAAGCTGGCAACTGTTGAATAACCCATAGTGATTTTTTATAAACCATCACACACACCTTTCAATATTCTTTAAAGAAAAAGAGCATATTTGTCAAGCAGAAAGTGTTACTAAGTGCTATTAAAAAAAAGGGGGAGTGTTAAGACTAGTTTGTGCCAATGACAGTAGAATTAATGATTTATACATTCAAAGTTCTAATTTTGTAAATTTGCTGAATAATTGTTGCTACAATAAATACAAGCAGCCAACTTGAGAAATACTTACATCTTTGTCAAAATTAGATTTTGTGAATTCCAATGAGTTTAGAAGAGCATTTGTAGCTGCTAATCTCACATGATTGCTTCGAGATTTAAAAAAAAAAAAAAAAAAAAAAATCATTACATTGGATCAATATCAACTGTACAATACAACAAAATTCAGTATGGAAACATTTTTTATTTTATAATTATCAGGTAAAAAACAAGATTTGGCTAATATTTATTTAGTTTAGAACCTAAAAATTATTTTTAAGCCTCAAAATATAAACTTACCTTGATTCTTCTTTTCGCATACCATTTACGATAGCAGTCAATATTTCATTGGACTGTGATGCCAGAATCTCTGGATCCTGAAATATACCAAACAATTATACAAATATTTTTTATTTTAAGTCTAGTTTACCAGTGCTTTGTAATATATTTCCAAGTCCTTTAAATAAAAGGGAAGAAAAACAAGCAAGCCATAAAAAACATGCTGCACTGGCCAACATATGTTATGACCAGAGCAATCAAGATCTTTTCTCAATTTTCAAAGGAAAATACCTACACTTTTTTTGCTAAAAAGAGAACATAGATCCCAAAGTTGAAAACAAAGTTTTTTCAAAATGTTATTAAAAGGAAAGATTAAATAATCAGAAATACTTTGATGTTTCCAATTTTTTTTTTCTCTTTCTAGCATGTTCAAAATTAAAAAAAAAATTAAAAAAAATAAGTTTTTCTTGCATCAGCAGTGAGCCAAAGATTACTATTGGAAATTTTGCGTCTTTTTTTGGAAAAGAAAAAAAAAATTGCAAAAATCAAATAATTGTCAGATTTTAATTAAATTTTCATGACTTATTCACAAATGAATTAGAATATTAATTTTTTTTTTTTTTTAAAGATCTTAGTAAAAATGTTTTTCTTTTGCATTTGTTACTCCCACTAAATTTTATGTAGGTTCCTCCATTAGGTCACGTAAAAAAGCAGCATATCACGATTAAAAAAACGCTCGATTGTGATGAGGTGATGAATAAAAATTATTTTAAAAATATTTGGGGTCAAACGACTTATGTGCTTTTCAAATTTTGATTCGTAAATTTACTTTTTCATTAATGTTATCATTGCATTACGTTCTTGAAAGCAATAAAGAATTTTAGATGATTTTTGAAGTAATAAGAAGTTAATGAAAATTTTTTAAGTTTGTAAAAAATACATCATTCATCGAAAATTTTTATTTCTTCACGAAATAATGTCCTTAGGATAACGTATTTATAAAAACAGGCTAAAGCTTTTCTAATTAATTAATGTCAGTTTTTTTACATTTTTTTTTTTTTTTATAATTCAGAGCAGATTTTCTATGATATGGGGTACTGTTTTACAAAAAAAAAACGGTGATTTACTTTCTACAAAGAGTACTGTTTATAACTAAAACAAATCCCGCGCTTGAAGATTTAATTTCTCGGAATTTCATGAAAATATGTAAGTGGGTGGAAACGTAAAAAAAAAAAAAAAAAAAAAAAAACTAAGATTTTCTAAAAAATTCAAAAATAATTTCATTCATTTGTAAATAAGTCCTGGAAGTTTCATTAAAATCCTACAATAATTTGATTTTTGCAAGAATAAATTTGATACCCAAGTTTAAAAATTTTATGAAATGAATTTATAGGCATGTTCAATAATTTGAAAGAAAGAAACTCAAGTTTTATCATAAAAGTGTTAAAAGAAAAACCAAATTTTTTTAAATTCATTTTTTAATTTTTTGTCAGATTTTAATGAAACTTTCAGAACTTATTCAAAAATGTATGGAATTATTTTAGAAAATCATAGTAATTAAAAAGAAAAAAAAAAGTTACCAACTTAATTTTTATTAAAACTCAATATGTAAATTTGTAATTCTTTAAATAAATGAAGACTGATTATAAATTGATTTTAGTAAATTGAGTGTTTCTACTTAAACTAACTGAATTATAAAATACAAAAGCCAATAAAACTAAGGTATTAATTAAAAACAAATCTTTACAACATTTATTTATTTTCAATTATAAATACAAAATGTGATAAAGCTTTTAAATATTTTAAAGTTTGAATGTGTATCTCCGGGAATGCTCTTATTACAAGATCTATTTATACAGACCTTAAATTTAAAAGCTCATTACAATCTGAAGCATTTCTATTTTTACAATAAATTTTTAATATGAAAAGAAAAATTTAAAACTTTCAGCTGTGCTAGAAATGATAAAAAAAAATTTGGTCTTTCCTCATAACATTTTGATGATAGAATTGTTTAATCAAGTTTGGGGCCTTTTTTTTTCATCAGGGTATGCTCTCTTTTAGTGAAGTATAGAACATATCTATATTTGTTAAAAGCAGGACTTCTTGGAGAATTTAAATCATCTACTTGTTTTTGTCAAACAAATAACATTTACCAAAAACTTGGGAAGCAAAAAAAAAAAAAAAAGCAAACCAACATTAGAAAAAAGTTTTAATCGCTTTTAGGAATAATATAAAAGGGCACTACAATAAGTTTTTTTTCACTGGATGAATTTTTACAAAAACTGATTTTTTTAAAAACATTTAATTCATGCCTTTTAGCTTATATTAAGTGTAAACTATATTTACTAATCATAAATGGAAAAGCTTAACAAATCAATACAAGATTTTTAAGAATTTTTTTTTGTAAGTAGTCAACTATACACATTATCAGAAAATAAGAGCATTAAATATTAAGTTTAAAAGCTGAAATTTCTAAAATTCAAGAAACACTAGATTGAAAATATTTTCCTAAGTTTTTAAGATCACTTTGTATTAAAAAAAAAAAAAGTTTCAAATCAGATTAATTATACTCTAAAATCAGCTAATATCCCTTAAAAGTTTCAGAAAAGTATTTTATTTTTGGAAGATTTAACAAAGAAAAAGATTCAATGAGAGATGAAGAAAAGTGCTAATCAGCTATTTTAGCAAAGACTTCTTCCAGTCAATTTAAATTAGTTCTTGAAATACTCAAGTATTTTGCATATTGGAAATATTAAATTTAGTCTAGTAAGTTAAAATTAAAACAAAGCTTCAAGAAAGATTTTTTTTCATTTTTAAAAATTAATTTTAAGCCTTAGGTATCATTTTTTGATACTGTGGAGGCACCTAAATTTATTGCATTTATCCAAATATATGCCTATGTTCAACTTACCAGCTCTCCCTAATTTTAATAAAACAAGACTTCTCATGTATAATGTACCAACTAAACAATAGTTCTTATTTCTTGGTTTGGTTATAGATGGTATGACCAAATTGAGACTATACTCCACAAATTAATCTAACACTAATTTGGCAAGCACTGAGCATGACCATATGTCCTGCAATATATATGAAATAAGTCATCCCCATGTAAAGAGAACTATATAACTACCAGTTATAGAGTGATGGAGAGGGGGAATCTAGCTTAAGAACTAAGCATATCACCTACCTAAATATCCAGTATTTTTTTCCTTTTTTCATAAAGGGATTTTTGTTCTAGATGAATACATTTCAAATTTGCTTCAGCATTTCATAATGCATGTTCAACATATTCTGGACTGCAAAATCCAAAAGCATATTTAAAAACGAACAAAAAACAAAACACACTTACTATATCCTGACAGATATAACCAATAGATTCTAAAGTTGCTTCCTTAACTAGCTCTGTGCTATTAATATTGGTAACATTCTGTGTGAGAAGTGGTATGAGCTCTGGCCATAGATTGTGAGGGAGTTCAGCACAAGCAATGTATGCAACACATTGAGCAGCTGAGCTTGGACGTATCGTTTCAGTGCCCAGCGATTCCAAAACCTAATGCAAAAGAGAATCAGATTCAAGTTTTAAAATGTACATAATTCAAGTAATTCAAATAAATTTAAGCAGTTAAATATTTTGCAATATTACAGGAATAAAAAAAAGTTATAAAAGTCATTAATTATATATTTGAAGTTTTTCAGAATGCTTACAATAAATATTACTTTAAAGTGATTTTCATCAAAACTTTTTTTTGGACCTCAAAAGATTTAGATAGAAATTCATACAAGAAAGCTGTTTAATAAGAAACAAAGGAAAAGATACAAATATTTTTAGAATTATCAAGTCACTCACATTTTTCTTTATATACATGCGCACATCTTCCCTAAACTGTAGCCACCGGCGCTGGTAATTTGCTCTATTTGTTGGATCTTTGGAGTATATGGCATTCTTAAGCTGAAGGCCAGCTTGCATTCGAGCCACTGGACTATTACCGCCATGCTTCAGGATATCTGATAGTTTTTTTAAGAGTTCTGGCTGTAAAATGTAAAATCATGTTAAATCATAAAATAGTTGCAACTTAAGGAAAATATTAAATCAATGTGAAGATTAAATCTTTAACATCAAGAAAATTCTATTTCAATTTTTTTTTACTAAACAGATAAAACTAAAATAAAGAATTTCTTTAATAAGTTAAAGTAAATAAAGTGACTTATTCACACCAAATGATGTCATACATTGATCACTTTAGCATTAGCAATAACAATTTAAAACCTATTTGTCTGTCACAAAATGCAGGTTCAACTTAAACTAAGTTTTCCATTTCTGATGAGCAGCTGCTTGGACCCAATTACTAGTACTTAATGTGAGGAAGTATTTACAAAATGCTTTTTCAAGTTTTAATGAGGTATCAGAATTACAAAAAATTAAAACCAAATTTCTTGTTTTAAGGATTCAAGATTGCTTTTGAGAAAATATTAGAAAAAAGTTATTTTAAAGTTAATGTGTCAGGCTATAACAATTTGTTAGTTATCAAATAGCTAAAACTACACAAATTTTTTTTTTTTTTTATTTAAGAATAAACTACCCTATACAAAAAGATCCCCACCAAATGCTTTCAGACTCAAGAAAACTCCGGACCTTTAGAGTTATTCTATAAAGTTACTATTAGAAGTCAGCTGAAACATTACAATGGAGTTAATTATATTGAATTATTGCAAATTATTTTACTAAACTACTGCCTATTATTTCATTTGGGTAATAATAGTGATAGGAAAAAATACTTCAACATAAGAATGCAGTTTTGTTAATATGTATTTAATGACAAGCATTTTCCTGTTTGGACCTAAAATGTTTCACAGAACTGGGAAGCCGACAGGAAATTGGTAGGAGTTAGCATGGCATTTCATCTAAAAATTTATTAAGAAAATCATATTTAATATAAAGAAAAAAAATAATAAAAAAAGACAAGTAAAATCGCTGAGTAGTAAAGCATTAATGCGGTCTTGATTCTAACAAGGAGATAAAAAAAATCACGTCATAAGTAAATCTTTCCAAGTTACAGGTAAAGTAATTACTTTGAGAAATGTAATGAGGATTTTCTTTGTCCAAAATTGATTTCGGTTATTAATGATTTAATGTTTAGAAAAGACCAAGTTAATAATGGTTCAAATACAGTTTAATTCTAAGTGAAACGGCTGTTGCTTACTAATTGTATTAGAGAGCAATACAAGTCTTCTAAATAAAACTAAAAGCTAACTAAAGTGACTAATAACTATTGTAAGGTCAGTAGTCGTTCATACTACGTAAGAACAAATATCTCAGATCGCAACAATGTAAAAGATTATGTCCAAAATAAACTTATCACTCCATTTTATGATTCCTACACAATGATTGCGAAGTAGAAAAATTCAGTTAAAAAAAAAAAAAAAAAAAATTCAAAATTAATACTTGTTGCCCAATAAAATAAGCTGTTATAAGTTTTTTTTTAGACTAGCACATTTAACTTATTTTAAATAACTGGTTTTCAGACACCCAGAAAAACTTAAAATTAGCTTATTTCTTACGAATATAATGTACTCATTTCGTAATAGAAACGAAACCCCCAGCTCATTCTTTATGGAGAGGGACTATAACAGTACATCGAAATTATCCCCAACCCCACGTGATACTTTCAAGAAACGGTTAATTGGAGACAAAAATATTAAGTTTGTTTTTAACTTAAAGAGCAAATAAAAACTCCTGACGATGTTATACAGATTACCTAGTATACAGTGTTGTTCGATCGTGAATAGATAGAATAAGTAACGATACGAAGCGAGCACAGTATATCAATACATTTAAAAATTAAAATTGACATTTATTTTTAAATACGTAAGTCAACTTGAAGACGCAACGATCTACAAATTAAAACAGTAACGAGCCTCAACGGTTGATTTGACAAGGGAAAATTCAGATTCAAATAATTTTATTTGAAAATAAACATCAAGTTTATAAAAGAAAACCTTTGGGCGGGGGAGTTGTCTAGCCAAACAAAATTAGTTTAGTATCTCTTCCCAATCAAGTGAAAAGATATTAAAAACGAGATAAGCGATTTATTAGTAAGGAACCACTTTAGACCAGATCTGGATCGTCCTAGCTGCAATAGACAACTAATTCTTACTACTACTACTACCTATTTGTAACAAGAAACTGTCGTATTACGTTTGGGGGAGAAATAATGAGCTACAAATGAAACGGCTATACCAAAAGTCTACTTAAGCAATTAATCGCCACTATGATAGAATAAATTAATCATACATATTACAAAGTGACTAATAATAAAATTAGTAAGATAAACAACCAAGCAATCTTCGACATTTTTCGAGAGGAAGAAAAAAAAAAGAAAAAAAAAAAGAGGAATGCGCGGGTTTTACGAGTTAATTCATGATCCCCACCAACTATATGAAATTAAAAGGTTTAACTTATTCTGTTTCAGATTAAAAAGAAAAATTGAAGATCAATACTCTCCACAGTCTTAATCGTCATTTGTTTTAAGTTCTTTGCAAATATCAAAATCCACACCCAGATATTAGATAGAATTAAAATAAAGTTTGAATAAAAACATTAACAAATAATGGAGACGTAAATATTTTAGGGGAAAAACATCTAACAGTTTTATCAAGACATTGCACAACAATCTGGTGTTATATACACATTTTCGGATGGGATAGAGGTTTTTTTCCGTTTTTATTTCACCCTGTCCTCAGCTGCCACTGCCTCGAAAAATCACACGTCCTTCGCCGCCATATTGAAAAGGCACCGCACATGCCAGGATTTGCAATTTTTTTTTTTTTTTTTTTTTTTTTTAAACTCACCAGATTCTGCTGGGCGGCCTGTTCTAGAAACTGCTGGGCAGCCTCGAGTTCACTTGTATCTGAAGTACCACAAAACAATGAAAACGATAATTTAAAAAAAAAAAAAGTAAGGTAAAACTTTTTCTTACACGAACCTTAATTATAGTGGTAAAGAATAGAAAGTAGGAGCAATAATAACCGGCATATATACGAGAGAAATGAGACGATTAATCGGCAATAAAATTAATTCAATTTTTAAAGTAAGCTTTTGGTTTTATAAAGTTAATGACAAAAAAAATAAAAGTGAAGGGGTGTAATTGATAATTTCCTTACCAGTTGATACCGTTTTCTCTAAAACAGTAATCAGATTCATGGCGGGTGTGATGCTTTGAACGCTTTCGAATATCCAAGATTATAGTTCAGGCCTTATCCCTCTAACAACAATAAACGGTTAGCTAAAACAATGACTATTATTATTGCACACTATACAACTACAACATCAACCGCATTAGAGAAATCTTGGGTTAAACCCCCATGTGGGGATAGCTACAAAACTTGACGGATAAGATGAGTTCTCTCACAACAAGACATTGCAGTCCAAGACGACTTCTGTGATTGGTTGAAATTTATGGCCGTTTCTTAACTTCCTGAAATTTTAGCCACTTGTTACGCTCCTAGTATCGGCTGATTACTCACTCCCTGTTAACCTGTGCTGTACTCCGCCCGCTCCTTAAATTTGACTATTTTTCGCTCTCATTTTTTATATTTCTCTTTTCAGCCCCCCACCAATTCTTTATTAAGTAATTATCACTAAAAATAATATATTAATAATTGTTGTCATTCTCTTTTTTTACGTTAAGAAACCAGTATTATGTTCCTGCTTTTAAATTACGCTGTCTTTTAAAAGAAAAAGTTAGTTTCAGTTATTAATGTTTGAAACAGAAATTTTTTCTTATGTTGCCGGCCAGTTTATGTTTTCGCGCCACTGGAAATCATATTGTCACTTCATTCCACGTAGACTTAAATTTTTAGATTTGACAATCTATCCTATAACATTTTATTTTTACTTGATTGACGTATTGAGTCAGGTGTTTTAAAGTTCTATAATATTTAATATCACATTAATTTTACTACTAAACGAATTTATCGCATTTTTTTTTAAAAAGATAAAGGAACTTAAGACATTTTACATTTTTTTTTTTATCTACAGTGGTTTTATTTTAAAAGTTTCTCTTTGAAGAAATAACATTACTTTTCCATTACTTATTCGGTTTCTTTTTCTCGTGAACATGTTCTGTTTTGCTTTAGTTATGTGCTTTTCTTCCGTTTTACACGTTAATTTTGGCACAGTATGCGAGTTTAAGAATTGAGCTCATGAGAAAACTGAAGTTTTTTTTCTTTTTAGTTCGGCATCATTTAGTTGATTTTTTGTAACAGTTGTTCTTATTATTTTATAATTTAAACTTTTATAGTTATTTTTTTAACACTGATTCATGTTGCCATTTTGATTTTTTTCACATTACTTTTTTTTTATGGAAGGAAAAGAAATTAGTTGGAAACGGCTAAAAATCAAACCAATAAATTTAAAAACATTATCCAAGTGCAATTTTTTTTTGTGGCATCTTTAACACGAAATAATTGATGACGACTACTTTTCTAAAGGTTAACTAAAACTAAAAAAAGATAATCAGTTATTGAAGTTTATTTTTTAAAGTTAACTAACAGATAATTTTTGAAATGTGAAACTACTCGTGCGCGATTGGTCGATAACAATAAAAAAAAATTAAAAATACTGTCTGACCACTTAAGTGACTTGTTCAAGTCTTCCTTAATGAATTTTATTATGTATTTGTTACTTAATTGAATCCTCACCAAACTAGACATTTAAATCTGAATATAACTGTTTTTATTACTTTTTAAAATGATAGAAAATTTTGCGTATATTTGCTAATTTTTTTTACTTTAAATTTAGTGTACATTTTTTAAACATGACTGCCCCCACGTTTTGTCATGCAAGAAAAATCATAAAGTATGCTATGTTAGGGTAAGAAAATGTCCTAACTGACTTGTGTGTAGGGAAAAGTAGTGGTAAAAACGTTTTCATTTTTAGGTGATAATCATAAACTATTGCCTATTTTATTAATCTTGTTTTTTCTTTGATAGTCTCTTTACTGATATTTTTTTAAAAATATTATGAAAACCATTACTCAGGAATAGGGAGGTTACTCCTCCATTAGATAATAAGAAAATAACTAATTAATTCACATTTATTGAAAATCCAGTTACCTAAACTGATTTTATCTTTTGAAAGTTCAATAATCATTTTGCAGAAGTTTAAAATATTACACAATACTTTCACAATAATGAATTCTTTATATAAACGTACATGTCAAACTTTTAAAATACCTTTGAAATACAACATATTTATGTCTTGATTTCATAAGTACAGAAACTGATTATTATAAAACCAAATAAGATGATGCTGACAATGAACATCCATAGGAGGTTCTCTAACTCCTACACATTACAGGAACAAAGAATCTAATCATTAACATGAATCATTAAAATGCCTTGCTTGGAGTGAAATGATTAAAAAAACAGGGCAAATTTAAACTGATACATCATTAATCCAATATCTGTCTATATTTCTGAGATGAAATATTGTAACTATTTACATTGTTTGAACTGTTGTCCTCATCTTTGTTGTCATATTCACGTTTTGGTCATTGTACACTCCGGCCTTCTTCAGGTGAGTGAAATAAAGGGTTTGGTTCAAAATTCCAATCACCTAAAGAAGGCCGGAGCATACAACGGATGAAACGTGTATATGACAATAAAAATGAGAACAGTCCAAACAATGTAAATAGTGTAAATTATCATTAATCCAGTTCCTATGTAATATTAATATCTCTTTGATACTGATATTTAACTATAGCCCCACAATTTACCTAGAACAGATTTTACATTTGAAGGGTTACTTAAACAATTAACTATTTTTAAAATTTGTATTGTAAATAAATGATCATTCTGGTTCTTTTAGCTGATCACCACTGACCTGTAGACCAAAAATATGTGCCAAATCAGTTTCTCTATAAAAATGATGAAAGAACATTTATGATGTTAATGCTATAATAATTATGGTTGATAAAGACAACTAAAGAGGTATAGGATATCATCAAACATCTTTATTTAGAAGAAAATTCTTACTGTATTTCCAAGCATTAATGATACTTTGACACTACCAACTTTGATTTATTAAGTTTTTTAGGAAAAAAGAAACAAAATTAAATAAAATAAAAGAATAACCTTTTTGTTTGTAGCATGCAGGGTAAATTTTCAAAATTTATTTTAGGAAAAATATTTTATTGATACCAGGAAATAGTAAGTTCAGTAAGCTAAAGAAGTAATTATCTTGTAAATAAATTCTTGTAAATATCTCTAATATTGTATTATTGTTTAATGTTGCTTAGTGAATTAGTAATATAAATACCTCAATAAATACTAGTTTAATCATGTTGTAAATAAAAATCATTAAATTATACATCATTTTTATGGTGTTCTAGATACCTTTATACACCTGGCAGATAATATCATTTGAACACTTAATAATTCCAAAACACACATTTTTACCACTAATGCACAGTTGGTGTCCATAGTAAAAGTGGTGAGTTATTTAAAGGGTTTGTAAAATTCAATAATTTTGACTTACAGAAGGTAATATCAGCAGCACAAATCAAATTTTGCTTAAATATATTTAAATATATCATATATGATATTAAAGTAGGGATTCCATTTTGTTTTTTGTTTCTTAGCAAATAAATATTATTTTGAATAAATATCTCACTATAAGGTAAACTAAATAAAGAATAAATATAAATTATTTTAAAATCATTAAATTATATATGTTTTATAGTATTCTACACCCTTTATATATGTAGTGATTCATTGATGGATATTCCCACTTCAAGAATAGAAATATATCGAAAACTTGTCTCTTCATGAGTGGATCCATGCATAAAATAGTTTGCTTTGAAAATATTAACAGTTATGAGCTAATCACAAGTTTTAAAAAAGTCAGCAATCTTTTGAGCCAGCAACTTTTTTTTGAATAGAAGCTGAATTCTTCAACCATCAGTTAGAAGTCAGACACTTTGATTCATCCAAGTTCACAGATGCTTACATTAATTTTACTTACCTACAAAATTTGACCTCTGGATGACCTACCTTTGTTCCCTGTATATTACAGAACTCTTATTACTTTTATCTTTCTCCTTCTATTTCATTGAACTTTGTTTAAAAAAGAAGGAATAATAATTTTTCCTTCACAGAACATGTAAGTTATTTGTGAACATTGAAACAAAACAAAAACAATTTTACATTCACTACCTTGACAAATAAAATTATTGTATTTTTCTAAAACTTAAATGTTTTATTTTTTTATCAAATGGCATGCTTTGAATTTATTTTTGTGAGTGAATATCTATAATGTTAAATGTTTCCTTATTACAGTGTAACATCATAAGAAGTGAGTCCAGTCAGTACTAAGAACTAAGATTGGACCCACAGCAGCCATGCAACACCCATTTTCCCTCAAGAACAAGCACTTTCTACTACCCCCAGCCCAACACACTTACATTCACATACTGAAACACCATTATACTTATCAAACCACATTTACTTCTTTTTATTAGTATTTATTATTAATTATTGTAGGCTTAAATGCATAAACATATGATAACACCAAGAATATCTACCTCCAGCCCAGGGTAGATGCATAAATTAGTGCACACCAGAATTTTTGCATCATCATATGCTTCAATGTATGTTTTATTACTTTAATATTTACATGTATTAGCCATATACAGTTGGTACAGGCTTTGTGTTGAACTTAAATATCTGGATATTTTGTCGTATGTATAATATAAATAGGACTGTCAGTTGATTTATATTATTTTTATTTGTTTCTTCCAGGTTCTGTTTGAAACCACCCATTAAGAATGTATCCTCACAAATCAGGATGTCAGAAATGACAGGAAAGGATTGCAAGAGAGGCAAGGCAGAAAAGAGGACAGCTTTCTACATGGGACTAGGCTCCTCTATTTTGGAAGAAATAGAAGAAAATGTTGAAAATCCAGACTCTTCAGTTTGTGAGAATGACATTCTAAAAAGAAGAGCTGGTGTAATCACAAGTTATGTAGGAAATAGCCAATCAATTAGCTTAAAGAGAGCTTGATAGGTATAGGTCAGAAGAGAACAAGGATGCACAACGATGCAAGAAATGACTGGCACAGATGATTCCCCAAAAGTGCCCTATTTCAGAAAACTATGTTTTATGTTTTGATTGATAATTTTGTTCACCTTATATTTTAATGC